TAGGCCTGATGAGGGCTACTATTTGCCACATCAGGTAGTGATTCGAGAAGCTACAATTCAGGATAGCGTTTTTCACTTGGTGCTACGTTTCAGATGTCACGCTATCGTTCTAACGGCGGACATAGAAAAAATGTACCGACAATTTTGGGTCCATCCACAAGATCGATGCTATCAAAAAATTTTGTGGAGGGAAGATCAGTCGGGACCAATCAAAACGTATCAACTCAAGACAGTCACATACGGAACATCTGCGGCTCCATTTCTTGCAACAAGATGTTTAAAACAACCGGCAATCGACGAAGCGACTATCTCTCCAAAGGCAGCTGCAGTAATTGAGAGTGATTTTTACGTCGATGACTTGATGACTGGAGAAGAAACAGTGGAAGCAGCCATCAAACTAAAAAATGAACTGGTTAAAGTGACAAGCAAAGCAGGACTTACATTGCGTAAGTGGACCTCCAATGATCCAAAGGTTACGGAAAATTTGAGCGACGCTGAAGGAACAGTGCAGCTGCAGTTCGACCCTGAGAAGAAAAAAGAACATTAGGCATTTGTGGGAATTCAATTGAAGATACATTCACCTATGATGTCAACATTGATCCAAGGAAGGATGTAATAACAAAGCGCTCAATTTTGTCGCAAATTGCTCAGTTGTTCGATCCGTTAGGGCTGGTGGCGCCAGTGGTTTTAATAGCAAAAATAATGTTGCAGGAATTATGGAAACTTAGCCTAGATTGGGACGATGCAGTTCCAGATGGAATAGAACAGTCGTGGAAGAAATACCAATCACAGCTTTCCATGATAAACAACTGGAAGATGAATCGAGCGATAAGCTCACCTCAAGCTACTAATATCCAAATCCATGGGTTCTCAGATGCAAGTATGAAAGCATATGGTGTATGTTTATACTTGCGAGTCATCACGAAGGAAAGTTGTAAAACATCCCTGATTTGTGCTAAGTCTCGAGTTGCTCCAGTCAAGACGGTGTCCTTGCCAAGGTTGGAGTTGTGCGGTGCAGTACTTTTAGCGAAGCTGTATAAATCTGTTCGAGGAGCACTAAAATTGAAAATCGACTCAGCGAAGTTCTGGACAGACTCGATGATCGTCTTGGGCTGGATTCGATCATCACCTCAACGCAAAGAAATATTCGTTGCTAATAGAATAGCAGAGATACAGCGGACTACAGAAGCTGAAAATTGGACTTATGTACCTACAAAACAGAATCCTGCTGACTTCGTCTCAAGAGGTCAGTTTCCAGCAGATTTCGTTAGCAACGAGATGTGGAAAAATGGACCGGATTGGCTGAAGTAATTGGAAACAGCGTGGCCTAACTGTGAACCTGAAATACAGAACGTGGAGGAAGAAAATTCAATGATAACCTTGACAATCAAAACAAAGGAAAGTTCAACGATTTGGAATCGTTTCACATCCTTCACCAAGTTATTAAGATTTGTCGCTTATAGCTTGCGTTTTGTAAAAAATGCGCGTAAATTCGATAGAGTTTCTGGACCTTTATCAACGGTGGAGCTTCGTCGCGCTTGGGAAAGAATTGTCACATTGGTTCAAAATGAAGAGTTCAGCGAGGAGATCAGTAGTCTAACAAAAAACAAGGAAGTTTCCAACAAGTCAAAAATAAAATCGCTTAACCCGTTTTTGGAAAATGACATTTTGAGGGTGGGAGGTCGAATAAAAAATTCGGGACAAAATAATGATAAAATACATCCTGTGCTTATTCCTAAAAAACATAAAGTAACAGAATTAATAATTCGAGATCAACATATAAAATTAATGCACGCATGTGCAAATGCAACTTTATATACAGTTAGAGAAAGGTATTGGATTGTGGACGGAAGAGCTGAAATAAGAAGGATTTTGCATTCGTGTGTTCCTTGTTTTCGTGCGAAGCCTAAAGATGTAACGTATTTAATGGGAAACTTACCAAAAGTTATGGTAACAGCGGCGAGACCATTTGAGAACAGTGGCGTTGACTATTGTGGTCCTTTTTTTATAAAGGAAAAAGCATTGCGCAATAGAAATAAAATAAAAGCATATGTATCTTTGATGTATCTTTGATTAATGCGAATAGGTTATCTTCGTGGCAACATGTACAAAAATTGAGACAGGATTTGTTGAAGCGTTGGAGTGCTGAATATTTGACCGAGATGAATGTAAGGAGTAAATGGAACACGTGTCAAGCTGAAATTGTAAAAAGAAATACGTTGGTTGTCATAAGGGATGATAATTTACCCCCTTTGCGGTGGTCGTTGGGACGTGTAATAGAAACTCATTGCGGCGACGATGGTATTGTGCGTGTGATCACAGTCAAAACGCAGAATGGAGTATATAAGAGAGGAGTTAGAAAAATATCGCCTTTGCCAATTGATATTGTCGACAATAATTGTGATAATTGAATGTAGTGCGCTTACGGCGGGCGGCATGTCGCGTAGCGAATGTGTGAAAGAATGAAAATTGTACAACGAACGGAAAGGGAAATTTCTATAAGATGTTTTTGGTAATGAAAGGACGAAAGCAGAGAGTCAGTTCCTGACGAGCACAACAACAAAACAGTCGCGAAATTTATACGAATTATTTTCAAATGAAATCTGCTTCAAAGTTTCATATTTATTTTATGTAATTTTAATGAAATAAACAACGGTTTTTAATTTAATGTGATTAGTGAATTCTTTTAACAAACTAACAAAAAAAAACTAGACTCAGCCGCCTTTGCAAAAGAACCAAGATTATCCAGATTGTTAAGGTTGAACAAAATTGTTTATTTAAAAATTTTCGGTTCTTTTAGTACACTATTTGATAGAGCCTCAAATTACCTGTAAAAATTTCGTTAATGGGTTAATGCATGCCTCCTTTTCCTATTGTATGTTTCTAATTTTCGAGCGTGAAACGCGAGTGCCGTGATGAGAATGTTATCCTTAAAGTCCAAGTACTTTAAGAAAATGAAATTTAATTTATAAAAACCAAAAATTTTACTTATATAAATTGTACAAAAAAATTTTTTGAATAAAAACATGAGAGCGAAACATGTAATAAATTTGTTGCTTTAAAAAATGCATTTACTTTAAAGTTCTGTTTTTTAGTGTTTTTAAATTTTCAATTAATTTTTTCTTTTACTCAATTGAAATTAGCTGAAAGCGGAATATCTTATTTTAGTAAATAATTTGGTTTGTCAATTTTCGTTAATTACAAAGACCTGGCCAATCCACAGCGCAATATTAAGGAACTAAGTTTGAACAGCTACAGTGCCGTCATTCTCTTTTTTTTGCCCGATAAAAAATTTATTCTAATACCTTTAAACCTTACCTATTTCTATAAATTAATTTAACGCATTTTAATAAAGACTATGAGTTGTTTCTAATAAATTTTTCAAAACAAGTCGATTATATGAAGATCCCCTTTTAAAATAACTACTTTTTTTTACTTATTTTAACTCTGTGTGTAATTAATTTTACTCTTTTTAATAAAATTAATAAAAATAATTTCTTTCTTCTTGACATTTTACTTTAAAATTAATTAAATCAATTACAAAGTCTGAAACAACTACAAAATCTCATTCTACCAAATAGATTCTTGGGTCATTCAACTACTTTCTGGTAGTATAATTAATACAATTTTTAAATTTAATAGGAAAATTTTTGTATTACAGAGTGTAGTTAAAAAGTAATTAATGCTAATAGGTTTTAAATTGTAATAAACAAACAAAGCGCGCGCCAGATTTTTTTAATATCATTTTCAATGTTTTTTAAAATTGTGAATTTCATACATCTAATAAATAAATACTTTTTAATTTTTAAACTTATTTTAAAATTAATTTTCCACAGAATTAAAATTACTTCTAAACTAATTTTTTTTTCTTGAAAAATGCAAATAAATTGATTTTAATCATATTTTGCAAAGATACTGAAATTTTAAATTTATCTAAATTAAATTTGTTTAAATTCACGTCTCGGATTGAGTTTAGAAAAAAAAATTGTTTTAGTTGATTTTTATTTCAACAAAAATCGAAAAAGTCGATATTTTTTATTTTTAATAAATTTTATTAGTTTATAAATATTTCGTTCATATTAACATTAATTATTAGAAATTGAATAAATTTTTTCTAATTCTTTAATAAAAATGATTCACAGGAATATTTCCATGAACTTTTTTTTTAACTTCATAATTAAACTGAAAAATTTTAAAGATTTCAATTCAGTAGGACAAATTTTGAAAAATAATAATTTAAAGTTACTTTGAAGAAGAAAAAATTCCAAGTCATTGTACAAATTATTCGAATTCAGAATTTTGGCAAATATTTGAAATAAATTAAATTTTCAAAGAAATTGATTAAAATATTATTGAAAAAAATTAATTTAATTGAAATTGTTGTAAATTTGAATTGCTGAAAATTATTGACAAAATTTTAAACAGTAATTGAATTTTAAAGAATTTTTGAAAAATTGAATTGAAATGATTGAAATAATTAATTTAGCAAAGAATTTAAGTTAAAAATTTGAAAAATTATTAAATTTTAAAATATTTGCAGTTACAGTTGTTGAAAACAATTAAATTTCAGGAAATTTTTAATCAAAATTTTCATTAATTTAAATTGCTGAATATTTTTTTATAAGATTAAGACAATAACTGAATTTTAGAAAAATTTGTATTCAGAAAGTGTTTTAAATAATACAATATTTAGTAAACTTTTATTAAAGAATATTTTGTTTAAAAAAGTCGAAAAAGTCAAATTTTATAAAAATAAGTCGAATTAGTCGCATTCATTGAAAAAAGTCGGTAAAAGTCGAAAAAGTCGTGCAATGCGAGACTTGTAATTTTTTGGTTCAAATTTGGATTTTTATGAAATATCCCATTATTTGAGTTTCAATATAAAATAGGGGAAAAGAGTAAATATTCATAAAAAAGGGGAATTTTTTAAAACATAGGAAAAATAGAGGAGTAGGGGAAACACTGTGAATCCGGTCAATTATTAAAATTGCACGAAATACCTTTGTTTCATTAATCCTATGGTTCGAATTCGAGTACTGCGACGAACTCCAGAATTGTTAGACCCACTTTCTGTGCTTGTATCATTACTTTCACTTCGACATCTAAATTCATCTTTCCTATCAGCTTCATTCAAATTTTGTATATTTTTAGTCTCAGTACACGCATCTGGAAATTTATAACTATTTGCCGATAATAAAGTGTCGCTACTATTTTCACTGCCACTAGACAATTTAACATATTCAATATCTTGTTTTCTATCAACCTCGCTGTCTTGAGAATGTTCCTCAATATGCGAATGATTTAAAATTTTATTTATATTTTCATTTTTAAATTGGCTGTAGTCTAATTTTTGAATGGACGTTTCTTTGTCTTTTATGATAATTTGAGAGCTCTTTTTTGAATCCTCCTCTGATATTGAATTCATTTGATCATGAATTTTTAATTGCTCCATTTTATCCAAAGCACTTGTTTTATCATCATGCTTTAAAAGAAGCATTTTCTTTGTTACAATTAATTTTTCACTAGAATTCTCTACACTAGATGAATCAGTAAATACTTCTGATTCTTGTGAATTTTCTACATACTTTTCTTTAAAATGAAAATCATTTGATAAATTTACTCTGTAACTGCTTTCATCCGATGAATTATCTAATAAACTTGCAACATTCACTGAAGGTATATCAACTTTTTCATCTTTATTTTCAAAACGAAAAGCAGTTTCACTAGACATGTCAAAATTACAATTATTGGAGCTGAAATTTCTTATTTCTTTCTCTTTTTCCTCTATTGCATTATTTTCAAACTCAGTTGATTTAGTTTGATTATTTTTCAAATTATTTTTTGCAGAAATATCAAGATCATCCATTCGTAAATCTTGTACACCTTGTTCGATATTTTGAGAAACATTTTCGTGTTTACATTCCTGCTGAGTGAGATTTTCAATTTCAGATGTCATTAGCATTGATTCAGTTCCATCTTCATTTTGTATCACAGTAAACTCGACAACATTTTTATTATCGAACTCTGGTTCATTAACAACTAAAACTTGCTCAACGACAACACTATTATCTTGTGAATTTATGTCATCAACAATTTCTTCAACTTCCATTTCCTCACAAATAATAGTTTCCTCGATAACGTCTTCGGACCATATTTCCTGGGATGTATTATTATTACGAGATTCATCATTTGAATTTGAAAGACACAGAAGTACATTTTTTGAATATTTTTCTTCTTTTGATTGCGTTGAATGAATTTCTATTTCATTCTGTCTATCTTCTTCTTTAAATGATTCACTACTGATGACAGTCTCTTCGCAATTTATAGATCGTCGACATTTTTGCAATTTTTTCTGAACATCAGAAATTAATTTTGAATTTGATAATTTCTCTTCTATTTCATCGTGACTATCTTTCGAATCATCTGAATTATTTGAGCTAGATTGTACTACATCACCATTAATCTTCTGCTCTTGCTGTTGTTTTTTTGCTATTTGTCGACTTGATTTTCGAACCGCCACACATTTTTGCGGTGATTTTACATTTGGTTTTGCTTCGTTTTTTCTACGACGTGCCATTATTCGAGTGTATAGTTTCTCCACCTAAAAAAAAGGAAGGAAAAAATACTGATTAAAACCCTCAATTTTTTATAGAAAAAAGCACATATATACGAGACAGAAACTTTATACAAAATATTCATGTTTCTCTAAACAAATCAAGTGAAATAATTCAAAGATAAAATTAATATAAAAGTTATCGTAAATAGTAGCAACATTAAAACCTTTTTAATATTTAAATATTAACATTATATTATCAAAGTCTAAACCAGCTTTGAAATTTTACGAAATTACTAGGCAATTTGAGAAATACCTAAAATTTTCAGGTAATTAAAATTTTTTAGTGTAGGGCTTCCTAGGCATTTTTCTTTGTAAAAATAATAAAAATAGTTTTTAAAAATAATTTTTTACTTAGAAATGCCACTTCTATGTAATTAAAAATAAAAAATTGTGCAAATCCAAAACAAAAAGAAGTTTTGTCAATTTTCAAATCTTTTGTAATAAATTATTTAAAATAATTCAAACGTAAAAATAGGGGCGCATTATTATCCCATGAAAAACAGTTAGAATTTTGATTTGAAAGAATTTTAGTCGATACCTGTAATTATTTTTCAGACGAATTTTCATTTTTCGAATTAGAGTTTGAAACAATTTCTCTTTAAACGAATTTTTATTGTACAAAATTCTTAAATCGACGAATTTTTATTTATCCGAAACTGCAAATGGCCGAATAAACAATCAACTCAAAGATTTCGGCCATTTGCAATTTCGGACAAAGAAAAATTCGGCGTTTTAAAAATTCTGTACAATAAAAATTCGTTTAAAGAGAAATTGTGTCAAATTCTAATTCGAAAAATGAAAATTCGTCTAAAAATAATTATATACAGTAAAATTCTTTTAAAACAAAATTCTAACAAATGATTTTTATGGGATAATAATGCGTCCCTAAAAAAAAGATTTTTCTAACTCGGAATTATTAAAAATTATTTTTCAAAAATAAATTTTATGCTTAATTGTGCTGGTTAAGCACAAAAAAAACAATTAAAACATTTACGAAAAATTCAAATTTTTTTAATATAATTCAATTTTAAAATTCAAAAAATAACATTTTTCAATCCAGAAATATTTAAAAACAATTATTTTTCAAAAATAATTTTTGTGCTGAATTCTAAAATTAATATTAAAAATATTAATATTAAAATTCTAAAACGCATCTTTTTATCCAGAAATATTCAAAACTTATTTTTCAAAAATAAATTTTGTGTTAAATTATCTTTTTGTGATCGATTAGCAGAATTTAGCACAAAATTTATTTTTGATAAATAATTATTTTTAAATATTTCTGAATTGAAAAATGTTAATTTTGAAGTTTAAAATTGAATTATTTTCAAAAAATTTGAATTTTTCGTAAATGTTTTAATTGTTTTTTTTGTGCTTAACCAGCACAGTTAAGCATAAAATTTATTTTTAAAAAATAATAATTTTTAATATTTCCGGGTTAAAAAAATCTTTTTTTTACTTTAAAGTTTGAATTATTTTAAATAATTGATTATTAAAGATTTTGAAAATTGTTGTCAGAATTTCTTTTTGTTTTGGTCTTGCACAATTGTTTATTTTTAATTACATAGAAGTGCATTTTTGAGCTTAAAAATGTTTTTTTTTTTAAATTTGCGTCCTAATTGTTATTATTTCAAAATTATATAAAGTATTAATGTTACTGACGTTTTAGAGGTCACTGTCACATTTATGCCTACAAAACTATAATAAAATTTTATGAATGTTAGATTACGTATTAGTTATTTTCAGCATTTTCAATGCTTCCAAAATAGTTTTGAAGATTAATTTGATATCGCATTTTTTAAATGTCAGTTATACAGTTTTTGAAGTTTTTACTCATTTTAAATAAACGTTTAAAATGTTTTCATTACGAAAACAGAAAATAAAAGCAATTTAAATTTATTGTAAATATATATTGTCCGACTTTTATTTTTCCAATAAAAATTGAATTTTTTTTTATAATGGACCAAATTTATTTCAAATCAGGTAGGCTGAAAAGTCGTTTATCTAAAATTTAAGGAAAAAAGTCTTTAAAATGTTATAACTTTTAAAGTAATTTAGATGTCTCATTTTTTCTTCTTGCATTGGAAGAGCTTTTATTTTTCTTTTAAAATCCGTTGGAAAAATTAAAAAATGTTCAAAAATAACAAAATGGCGGCTATTTTACTTAAGATATAAAATTAAAATTACTCAAAAACCCCACTTTTTTTTGCTCAAATTTTTTTTTGTGGATTCTTTTCACCTTAAAGATTATTTTTGATAAGAATTTAACTTGTGGCCGATTATGGTATAAGAGAAAAAAATTTTTTTTTGTTATTTTTTAAGAAAATAATATTTTCTCCTATACCAGAAATCGGGCACAAGAAACTTTGGCAAAAATGAGAAAAAGAATTGCCAAAATTTGACGTTATAAGATTACTATTCAAAAAAACACGTGAAATCAGTAAAGGCCAATTTCAAGTTAGGACAGAATGACAGACCAAGCATTTTATTATTATATAATTATTGACTTTATAGAAATCAAAAATTTTAAAAAGCATGAATTGTTGAACAATTAAAATTTTTAATTTAAAAATGTTGTTTTCTTTGATAAAAATATATCTTTGATACTTTTATTATTAAATTTATCGTTTAAATATTTATTTAAAAAAAAATAATATAGAAATTAAAATTTGAAAAATGTGACGTAAGTAAAAAAGAAATTAGATTTAAAAAAAAATTGTGATTTTTATACAGGCAGGCGTCAGATCGACTTTAAGGCACAAAAAAAGTCGTTTTAGTCGATTTATATTTCAAAAAAAGTCGGAAAAATCGATTTTTCTTTATTTTAACAAAATTTAATTGGTTAACAAATATTTTACTTTAAATAACCAATGTTATTAGATATTAAATTCATTTTATTAATTCCGTAATGAGAATAATTCTATAATGAATATGTGACGCTATCTGAAGAAAGGGACCTTAGAGGAAAAAAAACTGTAGGTTACGTTTTGAAATTTTAAATTGAAAATACACAAAGACGTTCAACTCGTAATGCAAACTAATGATATTTATGTCTTCATTACATCTAAAATATTCAATAAAAACTGATTTCAGTTTTGCAAAAACAAAAATAAACTTTTAGTGCAAGTAAAACTATCGTCACATATTATCAAGAAAATTTATTTCGAATATTTCAAAATCGAACTAATTGTAATAGAAATTTTCAAAATTTTATTTAAGTAGGACAAATTTCTAAAAAAAATTCTTGAAGTTCAATTTTTATAATTTTTTGAAGTCTTATTTAAGCAATTTATTCGAATTAAACATTTTGTCATAGTTTTTAGTTTTGATGGTCAAAAAAATGTCAGGCAATACTTAATCAAGTTTTACAGATTTTTAAATAAATTTTTTTTTTTTTAATAATAATAATTTTGAATGAATTAAAGTTGGAATTTTTAGAAATAATTGAATTTCAAAAGATTTTATCAATTTTCAGACACTAATTAAATTTTACAGAACTAAATTAAATTTCACTAAAAAATTTATTAGAAATTGCAGAGAAAAATACAATAATTTGAAAACTTTTAAAGAGAAAAATGGTTTCAGATAGTTTAATATTCAAAAAAATATTATAAAAAAAAATCATTAAAAATAATTGAATTTCAGGAGAGTTATAATTAAAATTATTAAATTTCAAAAAATTTTAGATCCGAAATTTTAGTAGAAATAATTAAATTTTAGAAGTTTTTAATTTTAAATTTTTGAAAATAATTGAATTTCAAAAGATTGTGTTAAATTTCAGACAATAATTATAATAAGAGAAATTTTTAGTGATTTCTGTTGATGAAGAATTTTTTAGAAATCACATAAATAAATTGAATTCTAAAAGTTTTTAATTGAAAAATGCTTTCAGATAATTGGATTTTTTGAAGAATATTATAAAAATCATTAAAAATAATTGAAATTTTTTGCAAATAATTAAATTTCAAGTGATTTTGAATTAAAAATTGTTGGTAAAATTATTTGCTAATTTTTTTAAAGTTATAAACAATTATTGAATTTCAAAAAAGTTTTAATTGAAAAATAGTTAAAGATAATTGAATTTGCGAAGAATTTAATTAAAATTACTTTAAAAAATTAATTTAGTTAAGAATTTTAGTTAAAAATTTGTTAAATAATTAAAATAATGAAGATCTGCATTGTATACTAAAAAAACGAATTTTGTTTAAAAATTTTTTGTTAAAAATGTAAAAAAAAGTCAAAAAAAGTCGCACTTTATTAAAATAAGTCGAAAAAGTCGTATAATCCAAGACCTGTACAGGTCTTAAAATTAAGGAACATTTTTGAAATTTTTGCTTCTGCATAAAGTTTCTATCTCTAATCATGATTTTAATTATTATTATTGTTTTTTTTAAAAGAGTAGAATTAGGTAAAAAAGAACAACTGTGATCCATTTAATTATTTTCTAGTTTCTTCTTAAATACCTTCCTTTAACAAAAATCTGTTTAATGAAATATTTCCTTGTTTTTAATTTTAGACAATTGCTTGAATGAACATCACTTTACTGTGAAATTAACAAATAAAAATATTAATGATTCTTTAAAAGAGTTGTCTTTTATTTTTTAGCCACGGCAAATTTAAATTGATTTTTTTATTATAAAAAAAAGAGAACTAATACTCACCAAAATTCCTTATGAAAATAAACTGGATTTTAATGCAATCATTACATCAGTTAAATTATTAAAAATATTTAATAGTTGTCAAACTTCTGACAGTTTAATCGAGTGAAGTGAATGATTCTTCAGATAGAAATTCTGTCTGCATAAGAGACAGACAGAGAGATAGATAGATAGAGAGAGAGAGAACAATATTCACTCCTTCCAAGTAGAAAAAGATAAATTTCACGACATCCTAATCAATGTTTCACAGTTAATTCTTCTCGTATTTATGTACAAACTCATAACTCTGGATTATTTGTGATAATTATCTTAAGTACTTTATATTAATCAGTTTGTAAGAAAATCATTAAATTTAGTACATGTAGAATAGCAAACAATCTAACATGTCTCAATAATGCCGTGAACATGAATAATTTATGAAATTCACGTTTGTTTCTCTTAAAACGTTGAGGCAGATTTTTTAGATGCGTAATTAATTAATAAAAAATTGTAATATTTTTTATTTTACTGATTTATTAAATCGAATAAATCACCGACTATGTATTTTTCTGGTACATACATACACGCGAACCTTTGGCGACCTTTCACTATGAAGAATACCAAGGCTAGTGTTCTCGAATTTGTTAAGTTGAGGCCTCTCTACAATAGCAGAATGGTTCTTTCAAAACTTTGAAGTGCGTTCACACTGTTAATTAAAATGTCAAATTGAAAACTGATTTATTTTTTTTTAAATTCGACGTTAGAATAAAAATTTTTTATCAAGGATTTGAAATCATTTAATGTCCTAGAAAGATCTTACTTGTTAAATTCATATTAATGAAATAATATTCTTTTAAATGAATTTCATATTTATATTACGTCTTTACGTATGAAAAATTCAATTAAGTAATAAATTTCAGGGTTGATTCTTAAGGAGGTTCTACAATAGGTGCAAAAGGCAAATGCAAGTCTAAAAAACCACAAGTTCAAGAGATAAAGATAGTCTAGCTATCTCGGTATCATGATGATTCTACACTCACCTAAAACTGAGCGAGCGGTCCGCTTTTCCGTGACGCTTCTCATATTTAACTATATCTATATATATAAGAAACGTAACGCAAATGCGGACCGCTCGCGCAGTTTGAGGTGAGTGTAGAATCAGCATCATGCTGATTCTACACTTAAGCTTAGTTCAGAATGAACACGTTACGTTATAACGTTAACGTGCTGACGTCACAATTCTATTTCAAATGGGTGACATCACACGTTAACGTTATAACGTAACGTACTCATTCTGAACTCAGCTTTACCGAGTTTCTCCACTTTTCCGTTACGTTTATTGGATATATAGATATAGTTAAATATAGGAAGCGTCACGAGAAAGCAGACCGCTCGCGCAGTTTTAAGTGAGTGTAGAATCAGCATCAACGCACAATTAATTTCGATTGTGGGAACTTATACATCCCGTCTCCAACTTGCGTACCCGGCTCAGTTGTGCTTAGGCCTTATTCTGAAACCGCCTTAAAAAATTCTGAGTATACTAGGAATTTGTCAGAGATTTCTCTAATTTTGATTTGCTTTGCACATAGAGAATATGTAATCTTCAAATCAAAACCAATCAAAATTAATGTAACCTCTGACAATTTCCGAGTATATACTCAGACTTTGTGAGGTGTACAAGCGCCTTAACTGCCTCTACAGGAGGTTCCAGAACTGGAGCAAAAGGCAAGTGTAACTCCAAGAAAACCATGAGTGCAAGAAAGATAGCCAGACTACCTATCTCTCTTGCACTTATTTTTTTTGGAACTTGCACTTGCCTTTTGCTCCTACTATAGAACCGCCTTAAGGCCTAAGCAGAATAGATTCTTGAACGGGAACGTAAGAATGGGTGAGAGAAGAATAAAGATATTTGCTATCCTTCTCTTACACATTCTTACGTTTCCGTTTACGATTGCGTTCCCGTTCAAGAATCTATTCTGCTTAGGCCTTTACAAAAAGTGCGTCGGACGTAAACGCAAACGTGTACCTAATAAGAGAGAGAGAGGGGTATATACGTATATCTCTATACCCCTCTGACTCGTTAGGTACACGTTCGTGTCCAACGCTATTAAGCAGGTTCTACAATGAGCACTTTCGTCCGTGAATGTGCTCTATTGTAGAACCTGCTTTATTGTAGACGCTGCTGAATAGCATTGTGACGTCAGCACGTTTACGTCAACGTCCAAGTATGAACATGCCAATTGTAGAACTGACTTAAGGCCCTCTCCAAAATGGAGCCAAACGCAACGCAGACCGACGCATCGCAATGCTAAAGGTGCTTTTATACCTCCAGTATTTTGGTCAAGTAATCAGCTGGATTGAATTTTCACGGCTGTATCACTGAATTTGATTGGCTCTGACTAATATTCCATTTAAAAAATTAAATATTAAAAATAAAAATTATAAATAATAATAAAAATAATAATAATAAATAATAATAAATAATAAAAATTATATTAAATTAAATATTTTTAGAGCCAATCAAATTCAGTGATTCTCCGTGAAAATTCAATCCAGCCGATTGCTTGATCAAAATACTGGAGGTATAAAAGCACCTTAAGCAAATGGGGATGCGTCGCATCTGCGTTGCGTTTAGCTCCATTCTGGATAGGGCCTAAAGGCCTTTCTCCAAAAGGATCCTAAACTCTTGCGTTGCGTATGCATTGCGTGACTGACGCGTTGATTTTAGCATTGGTTGCCAATAGCAACCGACGCAATGCATACGCAACGCAAGAGTTTAGGATCCTATTGGAGAAAGGCCTTAAGATTAACAATGTGATGTCAACGTGATCATTGTAGAACCGACTTAAAGCAGGTTCCACAGTTGAACCAAATGGACGTCCATAAAGTGTACTAGGGAAGTATGCAGTGTCCTTTTTTTGCACGGAAAAACAAGGAGACTGCATATTTCCCTAGTATACACTTTATTAAGGCCTAAGCAGAATAGATCCTTGAACGGGAACGCAATCGTAAACATAAGAATAAGTAAGAGAAGGATAGAAAATACCTTTATTCTTCTCTTACTCATTTTAACGTTTCCGTTCACGATTGCGTTCCCGTTAAAGAATCTATTCTGCCTTGGCCTTCAAGTATGCGCTAAAAATGTTAATCGGAAACGGCCTTCGTCTTATTGATGCCGATGAAGAAAAAAATTTGTTGTAGAAGCAGCTTAATTGCACGTTATCTTCACTGTGAATACAGAAACAAAGCAAATGCGCAAGTCTACGACTACTAAAAACAGCGATTAACCATATTTATTATAATAAGCGTGAATAAATATATATTTAAAAATAATTAATTGCTTAACTGTTTATATAAACTATACATATATGTAATGTAATTAATATATTTTTAAACAGATATTTTAAATTTAGATTGCCGCATGCGCAATATGAGTAGGATTCTGTTTTTTTATTGTTGTCAACCCTGATTCTAATAATAGTGATTAACTTCTCATTGCTCACAGCCTGTCAAATGTGTAATGGCATCGACAGTGGTTATTGACACGATGTTACAAAATAATGGATTTCAGATGAAAAAGAAAGAAGACACAGAAAATAAAGACAATTTATGGTAAAGATTGAAAACAATTTCAAACATTTTTTCCTTCACATCATTTAGATATTGTTTTTTAAATGGAATTTTGACCATTGTACTATGATCTCATGTGTAACAGTCACTTAAAAAAAACGCAAAGTGTTATAATATTTTAATTTATAATTTTTTTTTTAAATTTATTATTTACAGGTCCTCTATTTTAGCAGAAGTACAAAATAGTGGAAACAATAAATTACCATCGAACAAGAATGTTATCGTTTTGGGTAAGTTTTAAATCGGTAAAAAACACAATATAACATTAATCATTTTAGTCATTTTGCTTAATATGGCATTGTGTAGGCAGGTATGTTTTTTGCATACATAATGAAGTTATGAAGCAAGTGTCTCGTACATTCTTCTTTATTGTGGGCGAGGTTAAAACAATTGCAAAATTTTTAGGTTATGTTTCTCTGAAGTGGTTTCATATATATATTTTTATTGAAACACTTTTTCTGTCACCTTTATTGTAAATATAAAGAATATTTATTTACCTTGTAAATAATCTTTTCAAAAATAAGATAATTAATAGGGGATTAAAAAGATTTTTTCCCCTTTTTATTAATATTTCCTTTTTTCATCACTCATTTCTTCTATTTTATGTTGAAACTCGAATAATGGGATATTTCATAAAAATCCAAATTTGAACCAAAAAATTACAAGCCTCGGATTGCATGACTTTCGACTTTTTTCAATGAATGCGACTATTTCGACTAATTTTTATAAAATGTGAGTTTTTCGATTTTTTTAAACAAAATATACTTTTATAAAAATTTTATTATTTAAAACACTTTCTCAATACAAATTTTTCTAAAATTCAGTTATTGTCTAAATCTTAGAAAAAAATATTCAGCAATTTAAGTTTATGGACATTTTGATTAAAAATCTCCTGAAATTCAATTGTTTTCAACAATTGTAACTGCAACTATTTTAAAATTTAACAATTGTTCAAATTTTTAACTTAAATTCTTTGTTAAATTAATTATTTCTGATAACTTTAATCAAAGTCTTCAAAAATTCCATTAATTAACACATTTCTCAATTAAAAGTATTTTTAAATTCAATTATCTTTTGAACTTTGTAAAAAATCTTCCTCAATTAAAATTTACCAAAATTCTTTTTGTATATCTCTTGAAATTTTAATTACATATTTCTGAAATACTTCAATATATCTCTTCCAAATTCGATTGCTTTCAAAATTTGTATCTAAAATTCTACGCTAAATTAATTATTTCAATTATTTTAATTCAATTTTTCAAAAATTCAAAATTTTTTTTATTAAAAATTCTTTAAAATTAATTACTATTTACAATTTTGTCAATAATTTTTAGCAAAACAAATTTACAACAATTTTAATTAATAAATTAATTTTTTTTTCAATCATATTTTAATTAATTTCTTTGAAAATTTAATTTATTAAAAATATTTGCCAAAATTCTTATTTCGAATAATTTTTACAATGACTTGTATTTTTTTCTTCTTTTAAAGTAACTTTAAATTATTATTTTTCAAAATTTGTCCTACTGAATTGAAATCTTTAAAATTTTTCATAGTTTAATTATGAAGTTTAAGGGGACTTTCTGGTTTAGAATTCCAAAAAAATCAATTTTTTTTTGTTTGAAAATGTTCCTTAGTATCATAAAATTATTGTCCCAAAACGTTTTTTAAAAAATATGTAAAAAAAACAAAAGTTGTAATCAAAAATTGTTTGATAGTCCTGGCTCAATGTATTATGTTATGAAAACTTTAAACGCGTTTTTCTCGAAAAACACATTTTTCCAACTGGTGCACGGCTTTTCTCGAAATCTACTAAATCGATTTTAAAAAATCAAAAACCATTCGATTCCTTAGTTAAAAAACTAGAGAATAAACTTTTGAAACTTCATATTTCAACCCCCTGTTTTTTTATACGGGGGTAAATTTCCCCAAAAACACGGCGTTTTTTCGAATTTTGGAGAAAAATGTTCATAAAAAATAAAAAAAAAACCTTCTAAAAAATCGTTTTTTAGGTTTATTGTCTAGAATAAACACTTATAAAGAGATTCGCGTTTGAAATTTGAAATTATATATTACTGGTTGTCCGCAATCACGTATACCAAAAAAAGGCACCTTTTAGAAGACGCCACCTACAGATAAGAAATTGAACTAAATACACTCAAAAAATTTTTTTTTTCTCTCTATGTAATATGCAACAATGTCCAAAAAGAATTTTTGCAATTTATTTAATACTTTTCTTACAACACAAAAGTTTTAAAACGTGTTCATGAAAATGTTCCTGTGAAACATTCTTATTATAGAATTAGAAAAAATTTATTTAATTTCTAATAATTAATGTTAATAAGAACGAAATATTTATTAACTAATAAAATTTATTAAAAATAAAAAAAATCGACTTTTTCGATTTTTGTTGTAATGAAAATCGACTAAAACGACTTCTTTCTCTTTCTAATATCAATACGAGGCCTGAATTAGGAAAAAATTTTCTCTATAAATTTATCATCTTCTAAAAAAATTTGGAAAAAAATGTTGTTTTCTATACTTTCTATGTTTTAAGATGTTTTTTATTCATCAAGAAAATGGGTGGTCTTAAAATTTTCACCGATAGTGTAATTTAAATCAACTTTAAAGCATTTTGGTTAAAGAAAATATGCATTTAGATTTTACCCTGTTTTTTCCCTTTATTAAAATAAAATTTCCCCTATTCCTTCTTTTTAGCAAATTATAACATTATCAATAATGATTTTTTAATAATTAAATAATAACAAACATTTCTGTAATTATAAAAAGTAATTTTGAAAAATTTTAAGAATTAAATAAGTAACTGATAAGTAAATAAAATTTATGATTTCCTAAAATAAAAGGAGAATTTGAGGGAAAAATATTTAAGGGGAGTCAACACTTTTATTTTGAGTTCTTTAAATTTTAATGATGGCAGGAAGTTATTTTTTTTTTGCATGCATGATTTGAATCCTGAAAACATACAGAATTTGTCAAAGAAACAAAATTTTAATTTTTGACTATTTTAGAACTTTAAGTTTTTGAAAATCCGTACGAGAGTTTCTGAAGAATCATTAAAGGCCATTGAAAAAAAATTGGCGATGAAAAATAGTAAAAATTGTCAAAGAAGATAGATATTTAAAATATTGATTTTTTAAGACTTTAATTTCTAATATGGTCAAAAATTAAAATTTAATTTTTTTAACCATCCTGTATGTTTTTAGAACTTAAATGATGCAAGAAAAAAATATATAAATTTGTGTGATCATTAAAATTTAAAGGACTTAAAATAAAGGTGGTGACTTCCCTTAAACATGTCGAAGAGTGTAAGACGAAAGAAAAAAAAAATAATTTTAGAAAAAATTGAATAAGAATTAATAACATGAAAATTTTCGAAAATTAAAAGAAAAAAAACATTTAAGAAAATACAATGGTGAAGAGAAAATGATAAAGCAAAATTAAAAATTTTAGGAATTTCCAAAAAGAAAAAAATTTACCTGAAAAATTAAAAATTTTTATTAGTTTGTAATAAATTTATTTGTAAATAAAGAAAAATTCAAAAAAATAAGAATATGAGAGAATTACTAATTCTGAAAATAAAAAGTAATTTTGTGGGAAAATCGAAAATTTAAAAAATCTTTAAATTAAAAAAGGAATTTACGGAAAAATTTATAATTTTTGACAAATTTGTAAAAGTCAATAAATAAGTACATAAATTCATTGTATTAAAAATAAATAAATAAATAAATCGAGACTTTTAGAAAAGAATAAATTAAATGAAAAATCGATAAATTTAGGATTTCTGAAAAAACGAGAGTTTATGGTAAAAGATCAAAAATATTGTTCTGTTTGTAAAAACAAATAAATTTTAGTTGTTTTCAAGTAAGTAAATTCCCTGAGTTCTCTAAGCGTTGGAAACTCTGTAAAATTAAATTGTTTAAACATTTATGCAATACAAATTATTAAATGAAATTGATTCAAATAAAATTTTATTATAATTATTATTTAAATGTAAATAAAATTAAAAATAAAATTCTAGAATTAAATTTAAAAATAGTATTATGATTATGTTATAAAAATGTTTTTTTTTAATTTTAAGTAATTTATTTAAAGTTAAATTGTTATTCTAAATTCACTTTAAATAATTACAAAATAATTCAAGTATGGAAACAATGTAAAATAGATATAGAAGTTGTTTTTTCAATTTAAATTAAAATCAATAATAATTTAAATATTTAATCTTTTAATTAATTAAGTCAATAAGTAGCAAATAGTAGCTTTTAGTTGATAAGTGCGAAGCATATATTATATGAACAATAAGATGTTTCTAAATAATCTTTAAAAAGCTGAGTTTTTATTTGATAAAAACATAGAACAGGGTAAAGATTACTTACGAAGCTGAAACTGGCACCCAGTTATCAGTACCCACTTAATTTTTAAAAATTATATTTTAATCGATTTTAATTCTAAACAAAAGAAAGACATTTAACTTCTGAAATCGTTTTATGTTTTTTCCAGGGCTGCAATGATTTAAATTAAAGGGTGTAAACATTAACTAAATTTTTATTATTTATTTAATTAAATATTTAATAATATTATACCGACAAAACAAAAAATCTTTTATTCAAACGAAACGTTGTGAAGAAAAAATAAGGAAAAAAGGTATTTTTTTATTTCAATTTTCATCAGTCCAAAAAATCGAGAAAGTAATCCAATATTTAACAATTTTTTGTTTCTCCTAAATATCTAACTTAAATCGGTTAAAATTTTACATTCAAAATTTTTACAAAAATGAAATGGAACCAAAAAATCACATTATTTTTTAATTTTACACCTCTTTTTTAAAAAATTTTGTTTTTAGCTTATCAACATATTTTTTTTACATAAAAAGAAAGAATTTTTATTAACCACTCTAGAGAGAATAATGTTAAAATCACTAGTATTTATCACAAAGTCAAAAAAGTTATGTTACATCTTCATTAGTTTCTAAATCTAAAGATTACAAGATTCTTTTTTTAAGAATCTGTAATAAGTTTAACGTTATTAGTTCGTATGGCATATTGTATTTATAAAAATTAACAATCGGGAATTTCATTATTTCTAATTCGGAATCAAATTGAATTTATAAAATTGAGTATATTTTGTTTTTCATAATAAAATCTGAAAAAATAAATTTATACTATCATATAATTTATTTGTTATCTCTGAATTTTCTTTAAATGTTTATTTTATATATTTTGTAATTAGATTTATATGAATTAGATTAATGTAAAGTTCACAAAATTTTATTTGCATATCCCGTATATTATCGGGACATAAATGAATCTTTTTAGATTTATAAAAATTTTTTCGATAGTAAATTGCTTGAATCATCTATCTTTAATTTAACGATCTAAAATTGAATCTAAATGACTTAAGGAACTAAATTCCAAGCTGGTTTACCGTCTCCTTCTCCGACTTTTAGTGTCAATTCATCCACACACGCCATGCGAATTCTAGCCGCTGTAGCGGGTGCTTCTAATTTAAATATCCCTTTAATATTCATATCCTCTCTTGCAGATTTTATTGCTTCTTTAATAGCGAAGAAAGCAGAACACGCGAGAAAAAGGGGTGGTTCTCCTACAGCTTTCGAGGAATAAACTGCTCTTGGATTAGGTGCTCCCTTCAACAATGAAACATTAAATTCTTGTGGAATATCTGAAAATCCCGGAATTTTGTATGCCCCAGGACCTCGACTCATGAGAGTTCCAGTAGGTGAATACATCAATTCTTCCATAGTATATAATCCATAACCCTGAATAAATCCTCCTTCCACTTGGCCAATATCAATTGCAGGATTTAAACTCTCTCCCAAATCCATGACAATGTCCGTTCTCAATAATTGATGATCACCCGTTAAACAATCTATTTCCACTTCCGAGCAGGCGACTCCATAAGTGAAATAGTCAAAGGCAATGCCCGAATTTGTTTCAAAACAATATCCAATATCTGGAGTTTTGTAAAAGCCAGTTGCTGAAAGACCGATTCTTTGTAAGTAAGCTTCTTTTATCCATTCTTCCCACGTTCCTTTTGGATTTTTGTCTATTATGGGCTGTATGCGATTCATAATTTCGGTGCAAGCTTTCAAAACAGCCATTCCGTATAAATCAGAACTGGCACTGGCTGCAGTCGGAGATGAATTTGGAACCTTATCGGTTGCCGTGTCGGGAATGTGAATCTTTGTTGGATTTACTTTGAAAATTCTACTCGCAACTTGTATCATTTTTGTATGTAGCCCTTGACCCATTTCTACTCCTCCGTGCGCAATCATGACGGACCCATCGTGATAGACATGTACAAGAGAACCTCCTTGATTAAGAAATTGAACCGTGAAAGCGATTCCAAACTTTGTGGGAAGAATCGAAATTCCCCGTTTTTTAAATCTGTGCTCCTTATTATATCTCCGAATATCCGTTTGACGTTTCTTGAAATTGGATTTGTTCAAACATTCCTGCCAACATCGTTCCATTGTGCAATAAGATAGTGTTTGATTATAAGGTGTTATATCTCCTTCCTTGTAAAGATTTATTTCAGCTATTTGTATCGGATCTCGATTAAGAAATTTAGCAATTTCGCGAATAATGTTCTCAGCTGCAAACATCCCTTGAGGTCCACCGAATCCTCTAAAAGCTGTGTTACTCGGCAAATTTGTTTTACATATGTAACCGATAATTTTTGTATTTGGTATATTGTAGGCATTCTCACAGTGGAACATTGCACGTTCAATAACTCCTCGTGATAAATCCATGGAGTATCCTCCATTAGCGTAGATTTCAATTTCAAGAGCTTGGATTTTTCCCTCTTTGTTGAAAGCCACTTTATACTTGTGCAAGAAAGGATGACGTGTTCCGCTCATCATCATGTCTTCATCTCTGTCTAACATGCATCTTACAGGTTTTCGCAATTTGTAAGCAGCTAGAGAAACTGGAAGTGCTACCACTGCAGCTCTTGATTCCTTTCCTCCGAAACCACCGCCTAATCGTTTTGCACGGATAATAACTTTGTTCATTGGTAAATACATAAGTTCAGCGACTGCTTTTTGAATTTCCGCTGGATGTTGAGTTGAACAAATTAATTCAATTTCATCCTCTTCTTTCGGAATTGCGATACAAGCATTTGTCTCTAAGTAGAAATGCTCTTGACCTCCCATTCTTGCTTCACCAGTCAGAACATGATCTGCTTCCGCGAAAGCTTTATCTGAATCTCCTCTGGTTAAGCTAATCGGAAAACCTGTGAAGAAAGATTTTTTTAGAATTGCATCTTCGATACTCACTATCGGAGTTAGTACTTGGTAGTCAATTTTAACACTTTTTGCAGCTCTCTGTGCGATTAGCTGATCAACTGCCACGATTACTCCAATTACTTGACCTTGACTCGTAACCTTCTTTCCATAAAATACCTCCTCGTCGTGAAAGATAGGTCCAGTTTTATTGTTCGGAGCATCATTACCATCGAAAAATGCAATAACACCTTCCATTTCCAGGGCTTTTGAAGTGTCAATTTTCACGATATTAGCGTGTGCTTGAGTTGAAAGAACAAATGCTAAATACAGTTCACCGTTTATTTTAGGAACATCATCGCAATATAAAGCCTCTCCGGTTGCTTGTTTCAAAGCACTGACATGAACCACAGGTCTGCCAATCAGATCCGTCGATCTTTGATCTTCTGGTGCTACTTGATAATACTGGGAACTGCAAGGCATTTTATAGTGAAAGCCTTCTGGAATTGAATCCCATTCTTTTGGAATTTGCAAAGTCTTCAAATTTTTATCACAAAAGTGTGGATTTTTACTCAAAAGCTTTATCACGTGGATGAAACCTTTAAAAAATAAACTCAGTGTCAAAGATCGTCGATAAAGAATCATTCCTCCAGGTGCGTTGCCCGATAAGGGAAATTCTTTGTCAAGATCGTCATGAACCATTTCTAAAGTTTTTAAATTCCACTTCTGTCCTATTAATTTCTCACAAGTTTTTGTTGCTAAAACGGTTGTTGGCGCAAGACCTCCAAATGCAATATGAATCTTTTTTATGGAAATATCACTTTCAAGAAAGACATTCAAAGCCATGTTAACGATAGCTATATCATCATCACGTCTCTTTGATTGTTTGTAAGCTACAAAAAATTGATTCTCAAGGGAAAAGGGAATACTAATAGAAACTAGAATTTCATCTGCAGCGACTACATTTTTTCGATAACCGGTAAAAAAAGTGTGATCCATTTTTACTGATCTGAATCCATTATCTAAACTACATAAATTTAGCTTAATACCAGCAGCCATAAAAATTGGATTAAGATCTGATATCGGACTTCCTGTCATTATATTCCCTCCCACTGCTGCTACATTTCGAATTTGTTTACCAGCGAACCAATGTAACATTTCCACTATCGCTGCAAAAATTCTCGTTCGAAATTCAGGTTTAATTTTTATTTCCTCCCGTAATTTATCCTCCATTTCAATTAAAGTTACACTCGCTCCCACTTGTAGATATTCTTTACTTTCTATTATTTCACACATTTCTTTTATTTTTGTCGGTTGAATCAAAACTGGATACAAAATATTTCGAAATTTCATTTCCACACCAACTTCCGTATTACCAACGATTATTTTAGCGTTGGGGAATCTTTTTTTCAAAGTTAGAATCTCATTCAAATTAAGTGGACGATACCAAGTGATATTCCTCCCCTTCAATATTAAATACTCTTCATCGAATTTTGACGAGATTTGCAACTTTGGAGGAAAAATTGGTTCTTGCGTTGGATCATAGGGTCGAAATGCTTTTGAATCAAAAAGTTCATTTGGTTCTGATGTAAAGACTCGTTTGCAACAATTTTCCCCCATTGCACAAACGTTTCCATTAACATTGCCATTCTGCTGAGGAAGACGTTGAACTTTCTCCCATTCCTCGGTGAATGTCTTGTAACCTTCAATGATCGCTCTATATCCAGTGCATCTACATAAATTCCCTTGGAACGCAATTTCCAAATCTTTTATTTGTGGCTTTGGCATTGATCTCAATAAAGTATACATAGACATAACAATTCCTGGTGTACAAAATCCACACTGTGAACCATGAGCTTTCGCAATTCTTTCCTGAACTGGATGAAGCTTTGTCTTTATACTTCCGATTCCTTCAACTGTTGTGATTGACAATCCATGAACAGCACAAACTGGAGTTAAACACGCATTGGCTGCATAGTGAATTGGTTTTTCTGTTACTCGATTAAATTTTGAGATCATTACAGTACAAGCTCCACAGCCACCTTCCGCACATCCTAATTTTGTTCCACATAATCCAAGCTTGTTGCGCAAATAGTAAAGAAGAGTCCATTCTGGCTCCACTGAAGTGTCTCTTACTTCAACTCCATTTACGTAGAAAACTAGTGTTTTACTCAATTTTGGACAATTAAAACCGTCAATATCCATTGTGGTTTCATGCATTCCATTCAGAATCACACTTTTGTCCGCTTTACTTTCAGATCTCTTTAATTGATTGTCCATATTTTCTTATCCAATTCAGTGCTGTGAAACTGAAACACTGAAAACAGTTGATTTATTAGTTTGTGACTTTTATCTAATAATTTATTTCAAAAAAAAAATTTACACTGGAACCTCCAACCATTGCAGCGCGCGAGTCTTATGTGCAATGGATGGAGGTTACCCTTGACGTCAAGGTTATGTCAAAAAGTGGAAACACTCAGGGCCGTACATATTATATACTTATGTGTGGAATTATGTTCGAATAAAAATTGAGATAAATTTTTGCAATCATCTCAACAAAAGAAAAGCATTGTTGTATATTGGTTGCATATGGTACAAGAGGCAATGAAAACAAATCGATTAATTAATATTCTGGTGCGGAAACAACAAGATATAATTAATCTTTGAATACAGTAACTTGAGTACTTAAATAATTTCCTATTTAACGTATTCAACGATTGAAATTTAGAATAGTTGACGTGATATAAAGAAAGAGACCTAAGAATCAAATCATTTTCATGTTATGTTTGTGTTAGTTTTACTTTTTATGTATTTTCAATCAAAAAATTACAAACATAACCTAAATTTTTTTTTGCTTTTTAGGTGCCTTTCTTTATCGACATATGTTAATAAAAATGTATTTAAAACGAAAAGTCTTTTATTGAACTTGCAGCATTATAATTTAATTATAATGCATTTCAATTGACAAAATAAAAAGAGTTATATTGAAAATTTAAAATCTAAAATAATTCAAATGAAAACCGATCTTCATTAAAATAAAATAATTTAAGCATTTTTCATCCTACTATAGTTAATTTAACCCATCAGTTCAGGATTCTGACATAACCTCAAAAAACATATTAGAAACACATTTTTTGAGGTTATTATAGAATCCTGAAGTAGTGGGATTAAATCAGTCTCGGATTCGGAATCAGGGATTTTAGGAATACTTTTAGCCTCATAATTACATAGTTAAAATAAGTAAATAATTAATTAATTTCGATAGAATATCCTAAGAGAAATCAATGAATTATTACACTGAAAAAATAGCAAAAAAATATTTATTTTAAGCAAACATTTTTTTATTTGAATCAAATAAACAGGGTTGTCACGAGTCAGGGAAATCATGGAAAAGTCAGAGAAAGTGTGATTAGTCAGGGAAATCAGGGAATTTTATGAAAAGTACTGGAAAAATATCAAATTTTTTGAAAATGCTACTAAAATTATAATTTTTGAAATTTTTAATTCAAACTTTTGCTTATAAAAATTATTGTCACAGATTCTTATAATTGTAGGTCTCAAATCAAAAGAAAAAAATAGTTTTTTTAGTCGAATTACATGGAGTAACTCTAGGTCAACCGTGTCAACAAATTTTCATTGATTTTCTTAAATGTTAAAACTTTTATGAAAATCTGTAGTTTATAATAAAACAAAAAAACACTTTTAACCGTTTTTTGAAATTTTAAATTTTTGTTATTTTTTTTGCATAAACAAAATTTAACAACATTTTAAGGAAAAATTAATAACTCAACAACCGTTTTTTGAAATTAATTAATATAAAACTTATACTAATTATATAAAAAATTGTCCTTTTTTCAATGAATATAATTGCAAAATTGTAAACCTAAAAATTCGATATTTTTAATAACAATTTTATAAACAATTTACATTATTTAAGTGTTCTACCCCTGTGATTGTGATGAAACTTAAATAAAGTGTACATGTCAGTCTCCTCTTTAAGTTCCAAACAGAAAAAATTTGTATTGTATTTGTTACTCCATGACAAAAATTCGAAAAAGTCCATTTTTTCAATAAATTTAATCAATTGATAAATATTTTATTATTATTAACAGTTTTTGTTATTAGAAATTAAATCAAATTTATTAACTCCTTAATAAGAATGTTTCACAGAAATATTTTCAAGAATTTTTCTTTTTAAATCACCGAATTAAACTGAGACAAATTTTTAAAATTTCAATTCAGTATTAAAATAAGTTTTAAAAAATAATTTAAAGTTACATTTAAAAATAGAAAATTAATTTTAAATGATTATGAAGTAAGGGGCCATTCATTAATTACGTAAGGACGATTTTGGCTAATTTTGACCCCCCCTACCCCCATGTAAGGATACATAAGATTTTTCGGACCCCCCCTCCCCCTTCTTACGTAAGTTTTTAACAATATTAATGTAATTAAAAAATTAATTACATCAATACAAATGGAAAACACTTGGCAAAATCTTACGTAAGATTAGCTTCTACCCCCCATCCCCCACGTAAGACCATGTAGAGATTTTATAAACCCCCCCCCCTCCCCCTAAGGACCCTTACGTAATTAATGAATGGCCCCTAATTGAATTTCAGAAACCTTGTAATTAAAAATTTAAAAATAATTGAATTTTGGAAGAGTTTGATTTAAAATTTTTAGAAATAATTAAATTTCAGGAGATTTCCATTTGAAAATTTTATAAATTTGAATTAAAGAATTTTTTTTTACAAATTTCAGACAATAATTGAATTTTAGAGAAATTTTAATAATTAAATTAAAATTACAATAAACTTGAATTATTAAAATTTTTTTGAATTATATAAACAAAAATTTAATTTTAAAGAATTAATAATTAATTAATAATTAATAATTAACGTTATTTATGTAATTGAATTTTTGAAAAACTTGATTAATATTTTTACGAATAATTAATTCAAACAAAAATTGAACTTAACATTTTTTTAAATAATTGAGTTTTGGAAGAGCAACAGTTAAAATTTTTGTAACTAATTGAATGTCAGGAGACTTTTAATTAAAAATTTCATTAATTTTAATTTTTACTGTCAATCAGGGAACAGTCAGTGAAAATAATTTCTAAAATAATTAATTGGCTTACCTTGTTAAATTTATTAACAAAATTTTACTAATTTTTGTTATTTTAATAAATTTTTTATTTTAATTATTTTTTTCTGTATACACTTAACTGCACTGATATTTGAAACATTTAACTTATTAAAATTTTGATGTGTTTTGTTTGAAAGTTTTGAGAATACTGAGAAAAATGTGTTTCTTTTTTGAGATTGAATGATAGTGGAAATGTGTTTTTATGGGTTTAAGGATTCTTGTCGATGTGTGAGTTAGAGAAGAAGTCTTGATAAAAGAAAGCGCCGAGATAGCATTGAAGATTTCAATCAGTTAAAAATTTGAAATATCATTGCAGTTCAGTGTGTATAAAAAAAATAAAATTTATAAAACCACAAAAATCTATGTTAATACACATAAATAATAAAAATCAATAAAATAATAAATAAAATTTTTTATTAATAAATGTAACAAGGTACGCCAATTAATTTTGATTATTAATTCAAATCTTAGAACGATGATAAAAAAATCGAAAATAGCCCATTTTATTATTTTTCAAATGTCAAATTTCTCGAAAACCTTACGTGATGAAAATGATATTATTTAAAATATTAAAATTTCTTTTTTGAAATTAACATTTAATTTAATATTTTTTAAAATTTCTTACAATATGAAAAATTGTGTTTTTAAATGTAGGTGTCTCATTTTTTGCATCTAATTTATGTAAAAATTATTATATACTAATTAGTTAATAATTAAAAATTATTTCAGTGAAAGGGCAACAATTTTATTTTTGCCACTTTGAACCATTAAAATTTGCAATTAAATAAAGATTAATATTTATTTTGAAATTAAAAAACGATTAAAATTTTTAGGTTATGTTACCTGAATCTTTTTTTAATTTCAGAAATTTTTAATCTTTATCCAATGTTAACTTTAAAAAATGTATTTTATTTAATTTTAGTCATAATATTTTTAATCTTAACAATAGTAATTTTTTGACATTAGGATTAATTTTTTACTATAGTCATAAATATTTTAATATTATTTATTAATAATTAATAACAATAATTTTTAAAAAATTATAATAAATGTCAATACCCCACTGCATAATAATCAGAAATCATTGCAAGATATTTAGTATTATTTGATACACGGAAAAAAAATTTTATTTCAAAATTTAAGTCAGTTTATTAAACTCAGACTACAAAAAATTTATATAGTTTCACTAGCAAAGTGTTATTGCAAAGAAAACAGAATTTCAAAAAAATAGATTCATATAATTATTAAAAATTACATTTTAATATTTAATATAGTCATTATTACATTCTCTTCTTTAATTAATTTTATACACTAAAATTCAAATATCCTACATTTAATAATCTGAATTTAAATCTTTGACGTCTGAACAAGAATTTAATAATTAAAACAATGACACTCTCTGACAAGTGTTTTTTAATTATTCAATTTGTTGATTTGAATTAATTTTGTTATTTATTTTTAAAATATTTGTAACTAATTTAAGCATAGTTATTTCAGTTAATTTTTTTATATATTGTAATATTCTTTTTAATTTTGTTAAAAAAAAATTTGCTATTTTTATTCTCTGATGATACAAATTGTTTCAATTTTCGAATTTTAATAAATTCGAACATTGGTACAAATAAAAAAAAAATCTGATTTATTTGTCCAAAATAAAAAAAAAATTTAAAAAAAAAAAAAAAATTTTAATTAAATATTAAATATAAAAATTGAAAAAGGAGAAAAGTAGGGTAAAAAATTTAAATCAGAAATATTGAAGATTAAAAGCTTTTTTTAAAGCATTAAAGTTAAAATAAAAGAAGAAATTAGTTATTGTGAAATGAACTAAAAGAAAATAATTAAACTACTGGAAATCCTTGGAAAGATAAGAACGTCATTATCGTGCACAATTAAATGTAGTTCTGCATAACGAAATACGGAAATTAAATAATTCTTTTAGAAATAAATTGTACAAACACTCACAGATCAATGATCGACACTTAATTATTTCTCGATTAAAAAAAAAAAACAGTTCAAAATTAAATGATTCCACTTGGATTGTTAATTTTCAGCAATAACATAAACTGTTTAGTAGTAAACATGTTTTTAAAATAATATTACACAATTATTTATTTAGTGATATCTGAAGTTTTGTAACAGATCACTTGGAACTTTTCAGCTTGAATGATCAGTATTAAATGACTTACATTTTCAATGAAGCAACATTTCGAAGTCTTATGATATTAAGAGGCAATGACGTAGCTAGATTATTGGAACCCACGAAAAATATCTTCATCAAAATCCCATAAACTTCTATTTTGGAGAATAATTTAATAATTTAATTATAATAAAATTTTATTTTAAAAGTTTCTTTTTTCTATTAAATGTAACAGTGTTTGTAGGTTGATTTTATTTGTCATATAATGCTTGACAAAAAATAAATAGTTATAATCATGCGAGACGAATGTATATCTAAAGGTCACGCTAAAGAATAATCTCAATTGATTTAATGCTTGACTTTTCAATTCCTCCCATGAATTCTTATCAGTTGTATGATGCACTTATCTCTGTACTTTCTTTATTCCTCCTTTTTTTGTAGTTTTCAAAAATATATTTCTCTTATTTTGCCATTGGGGACATTTTAAGTAAAATCATATTTTGAAGATTTTTTGACTTCTAAATAAGCACTTAGAGTTTTTTTTAGAACCCTCTTTTTACACTATTTTATCCAAGATTATTTATAAGTTTTCAATGACTCAAAAAGCTCCGAGTAAAACAAATTTCAAACGAATTCGATCAATTTTAAAAAATTTTTGGTCGCCATTTTAAAACCACCATTTTTAATTTTTAAATCTGACTATAAATTCCATTTTGTCAGAATTTATTTATTTTTTTTTTGATAATACGTGTATATAGAAATTCAAACTAATTAAAATAATCTTACATAAGTTCCTAGTTCCCTCTTTTCCCCTGCGTAAACAAATATAAGAAAATTATAACCCCCCCCCCCTTCTTGAAAATTACTTACATAATCCTTAAACGGCTCTTTCGCTCTAAATATTATACTCTTCGATAAATATTATTAAACTATTAATACGATTAAAGAAGAAAAATTATTAAACAATGTTCGTATTATAAATATATTTCACTCTTATGTTTATTTAAAAAAACAATTATGTAAATGTGAAGGTTAAATTAACGGTTTTTTTTCATAACATTTGTTATTCAAATTTTTATAGTTACTTATTTGCGTCTAACTAAAAATGATTCACTTTATTTATTTTTTAAAATAAATTTTTGAATTTTACTCGGTAAAGGTTATTATTTATTTTTAAAAATAAAATTTATTTATTTACTTATAAACGAGGTTACAAAAAAAAATTTGCCCTTTCGTACCGAAGTACTAAAATTAAAAAAATTAATTTTTATTTAAAGATAAATATAGATTTTTATATTAAATATTTAAATATTTTTTTATCTTTCATAAGTAATATTTTTTAAAATAATTTTGGAGCAAAAGAAATTTGTAATTTTCGAAATATTTTGTAAATTAAAAACACAATTAAAAGATTTTGTCAAAATTTACAAAAAAAAAATGTATTAAAATAAATAAGTACGATATTTTTTTAAAGTTTGTTATTTGCATAAATTGCACTCAATGGAAGTTGATTTGATTTGAGTTAAAAATTGTTTAGAAAAATTTTTTGCAACTCTGATATAAATGACACGTTTCTAATTTTTTTATATAAAAATTTGTACATAATTCATTAATAAAATTATATTTAATCTTTAATCTTTAATAAAAAAAATTAAAAATACCAATAAAAAATTAAAAATTCTGATATTAAATTAAAAATGCAAATAATAAATTAAAAATGCTAATATTGGTTAAATTTGAAAAAAATAAATAAATGTAGATGAGTTACAACCTAACAAACGAGTTTTAAAAGTTGTTTGTCCACTATTTTCGCTTTTGGAATACGTCAACTTCAATTCTCCATCATAAACAAAAAGATTATATAAATGTTGTGTGAAATCAATTCATCAGCTTTAATCACTTTCTCTCGTTGAAAAATATAGTGTAACTAACATTAAAATTAAAAAAAAAATTAAATTAATAAAATTAAGATAAAAACTGAACTTAATTTAAAATATAACTGAAGAAAAATATAAAAATTTTAAATATTGTTGAAGTTTGCAAGGTTTTTAATAAACGTTTCATTGTTATCATAAAATTAGTGTGGTGTAAAATGTAAACATAACAGATTATGATATTGATAAGAATAAACAAATATTTGGAAACTACGCCAAGTGGTGTCAGAATTGACTTTTTTTTATCCGAATTACTCTACAGATCTCAATTTTGGTGCAAGTTAAACAAAACAAAATTTTAATCTTCGTAATTCAATTCCTTATCGATTTCTCTAAAATTCTAAATTTTTTAATTTTATATTCATAAAATTTGATAGAATCAGAATTTTGCAGAAAATAGTTTTTTGAAAAATCGAAGAATTCATCAGATATCATGTGAAAATTATTTTTGAGTATTAAAAGTTTGCATACATAATAACAGTTTTATTAATTTACTAACTTATACGAAAAGCTAAAAAATGTATTTAATTTAAATTCTTGCTCTTGATTTTATATCTACGTCTTAAAATTTAAAAAGAAATTTTTATTAATTTTTTTTTTTTAAATTAATTTAATTCTTCAACATATATCCACAGAATTTTTATTTTTTTTTAAATGTTCGTAACATTTTATGCCTTCAATAACTTTATTGATAAAGTATAATTTGCAGTGAATAATTTTACAATTGTTTATACAAATGATTAAAATTTTTTAACTTTCAATCGAATTTTCTCTGAATTTTTTTTCGACTTCGAAAATCCATGAAATTTTTTCAATTTTATAACAAAACCTTAAATTATTAAACTTTTCTAAAATAATTATATTTATTTCTCAAGGAGAATGGGGACCCCTAACATAACCTCAAAATTGAAAAATTGTTTTTAACGTAAACGAAACTTTAATAAAAATTTATTTTAAATAATTTCAGAAGATCTAGTTATACACAGGCCCGATAAGAGGGGGGGGGGCAGCAGGGGTAAATGCCCTGGGGCCCGGCCGCTCTGGGTTTGAAAAAAAATTAAATATAAACCAAATTTTATTTGAATTAACTGTGTACGGATAAATATTGTATTATTAAAATATAAGTATTTCCCTCCGTTTTTAATTGGTTTGCAACAAGAGATGGGTAAGTAATTTACCTCGTGTAATTTTCATAGTTTTTTACAGTAATTTACCGTCTATTTTATAATTATTGATTAAACGAACTAAGTGAAGTTCGATCATCATTATATGAATTAACTTGTTCGAAGATATAACATATGTAGTACCGCAACTTGTTGCCAGGTGACGCCACATTTTAGAGATAAATAGAGAAGAATTTTCTTCTCTATGTACTATAGGTATACTTAACCCAATCATTCCCCGCTCATTCAACTCATTTAGTTTAGAGGGCACGAAAACAAAGAAAATATCTTTGATTAAATTATATAAAGAGAAAATATTCCAGACAGATCTAGGGAAAGCCCAGTCATCTTCTTCTCTAATAATTTTCCCACACTTGGAATTGCTACAAGAGGCCCCAAAGTATTTAACAATAACAAATGTGTCATTAAAAATAATTAAACTGATAGCTCAACTGCGATTAATAAATAAATACAATACTAGGATGATTGTTAATTCTTCTGTATGTGTCTTGAAATTTGAAAAGTACTGTAAGTTTTGTTATCTTGATATTGAAAACTCCGATTATGTCTTCCATTTACTTATAGAATGCCAATACTTTGATAATGAAAGGAAAAAATATCTTTGTAATAGTAATAACACGGAGGAAATCGAGAATACTTGTCTGAAGGTTTTGATAAATCCGAATTTATCTTCAATTAAAAAACTCGCTATTTTATTGTATAAAATTTTAGTTTAGGAAATATATATTATGTAATAAACTCGAACTCCTTTGTATGAATCAGTTGATTCTTAACAAATAAATATACAAATACAAAATAGTTTAGAGGGAATGTTTGAATATTTTTTGGGGTGGGTTTTTTTTTTTTTTTTATTATTATATTTAGAGTATATATCTTCGAACAAGTTTATTCATATAATTATGATCGAACTTCACTAAGTTCGTTTAATCAATCATTATATTTCATTTCCTTGTTCGAAGATATAACATATGTAGATGTTTAGAGTTTATGATTTGTTACAAAACTCTTTATTAACTTAATTATAAGTTTTTGTTTACATGCTAATAAAATTTCCTTATATTTAGTCAGGTACCTCTTTTACTTAAGAATTTAAACGTTTTACTTAACTTAAGTTAGGTACTAAGTCGAAGGATGAAAAATGGTAATAATAAAACTGAACTGAAAATAGTAATAAAAAATGAACCGAAGAATGATTAGTTTGAAAGGACAGCAGTAGCGAAATTATCTTTGGTTTTTTAACCGGCCTTTTATAAAATTTTGCGAAAGTGGACGAACGCTCGGACCAGCCTGCTGCTTCCTTGATAGAATTTATGTCTATGCCTGCCTGTGAAGCCTTTGATGTGGAGGCATGCCTGGTGCTGTGGGATTTATAAACGTCGTCGATTCCTGCCTCTGACATGACTGCCTTTATCCACCTGCTGATGGTTTGCTTTCCGACCGGTTTGTGTGGTTCCTAAAAAGATATTAATAAGTTTTTACATCTTTTCCTGATCGCTTTTGTTTTTTCTAGGTAGCAAAGGATTGTTCTCGCTACGCATAATTCAGGTTTTTCTTGATAATACGGAAACCAGGCGTAGGGATGTGGAGCCCCGGGACGAGAGGTTTTTGTTAAATCGTTGATTCTGATTTCGACTCCTTGTCTGTTAGATTTCACATTATCGATCTTGATGAGTGAGATGGACTGGATCCTAAACGCCGATCCAAGGGCTAGGAGCATGGTCAGTTTCAGCGACAGAACTCGTAGTTCCAATGATTCTGTTGGATTCCATTCTGCCAGTTTGTCCAAAACGGTGCTGATGACCCAGGTGAAATTGTATTTCGGACAGGGGGGCCGTAGCTTAAAGATGCCCCTGAAAAATCTTTGAATTAATAGGCTATCGGAATGGTTCTGATTGTTGATTAAAGCGATAGCTGATCG